TTTTGAATGCAAACAGGCTGTGGCTGGCAAGTGCCAAGTCCTGACGCTTTGCTTGTCGCCAGCGGGCAATAGGAGGGCTATGATTTGGCCTGCAGCTCGCGCGGAGACTACAAGGGCATCCTGGGCGGCCACGCTTATACCCTGCTGAGGCCCGAACGCACGCGAGGGTATTTTCAAGGAGCAAATTGGCCAGAAGGAACAAGCAAGCCCCAGCGATTTCCATGACTTTGAAATGTTGGGGGAAAGTGACGTGTCATAGTGTCTCAAGGAATCCTGGAGGCCACGGATGTGGTAAGTTGCAGGAGCCAAGCTTCATAGTGGGCAGATGATGATGACATGCTTGACAGGTTGGCGCTGCAGTTCGCAAGATGTTTTTCAAACCTGTTGCACACTGAGATCTTGATCTTGAGAATGGGTAGGCTTGCATTCCATTCAAATGCATGCGTTTTGCATGTTAGCTGCTGGGGATGGTTAGGAGCATATGAAGCGCGGACCACCCTTTGGCAAGGCTGAACTGCTGTAAAGGGTCTGTGTTGCTCCAGTTCAGCCTTTGAATGACGCAGAGGCGTTGGAAGTTAGTGCTTGGCCGCATGTTCAGGGCATAGTCAGTCAATTCTTTGAACTTGGGCTCCATGTGCTACTGCTAATGTTGACTTTGCTGTCCGTGGCATAGTGGCAGGTTACTCCGCCGGGTCAGGTAGGTTGTGCTCCGGCTTGGTCCCACTGACACCCTGATGACAGGCGAGGTCCCAAAATCGGCGGGGTGATGAGGAGGCTTGTTGCTCCAACACCTGGTGCCTGAGCTGTTTGTGCGCATGGGTGCCTGCAGGCTGTTGGACGTGCCGCTGAACCCAAAAAAGGAGGCAAGCACCGAGACATCCGTGCTGAAGCTTTTGCATGTACGTAACTCCGGCACAAGTGACAGAGAGCGGGAGAGGTAGCTGTTTGGCTGATGCACCATGAGTTATCGAGTTGTCAAATCAGAGGATCTTGGTTGTTGGATTACCCGCCTCGTATTGACTCGTGTTTTCTCGCGAGGCAACAGCCAACAGTCCAACCCGTTGGAGTGTAAAGTTGGCCCATTAGAGGCTCATGGCTTCTGCTACACGGCAGCCCCTCAGAGCTTAGGCAACCCTCACCGCACCAACGAGTGGTTCGGCCGCTTCCACGACGACGACTGGGAGACCTGGAACGCCTACCCGGAGGCACTGAAGCTGACGGGCCATACAGTTGGCATCAAGGACGGGTTTTGATACGGAAATTGATGGCGGCGAGAATCAACTCTGGATCAAGTTTGGTTCGCCCACCATCTGACGCGGAGAACTCTGTTTGCGCGTCGCTTTTTACCCGTAGAGCCGGCGAAGCCGGATCGATTTTGTTTTCCCTCTCACCCTCTCTGTTTCCCTTCCCCGTTGATTGCTTGGTTGATTGATGGGCCAGACAGCTAGATAGATACATAAATAGATAGATAAATTGGATAGATGGATGAAGATAAGATAAGATAAGATCAGATAGATGGATGCAACCGATAGATAGACACATCTGGAAAGATAGATAGATTAAACAACACAGGTAGATAGCTAGGTAGGTAGATAGGTAGGTAGATACGTAGATAGGTAGATAGGCAGATAGGTAGATAGGCAGATAGGTAGATAGGCAGATAGGTAGATAGGCAGATAGGTAGATAATTAGATAGGTAGATAGGTAGATGGGTAGATAGATTAGGTTAATTAGATAGATAGATAGATAGATAAACAGATAGGTAGGTAGGTAGGTAGGTAATAGATAGATAGGCAGGTAGGTTAGATAGATGGAACACAATGGATGGATGGATGGATGGATGGATGGATGGATGGATGGATGGATGGATGGATGGATGGATGGATGGATGGATGGATGGATGGATGGAAGGTAGGTAGGTATGTAAATAGATACATAGATAGACAAATAGATAGATAGATGGATAGAAAGATGGATACATTAGATTGCACTAGCTTAGCCAGATAGGTAGAGAAGACTATAAAGAGAAAGAGAAAAGAGAAAAGAGAAACATGATCTATGCGAGGGGTTTTCGACGGATGGGCATTCAGGGAAGATGGGGAGGAGAGGAGAAAGAGACAGAGAAAGAAAAAGATAAGATACGATAATGAGAAATAGAATGGGAAAGAAGAGAAAGGGAAAGAGAACGATTTAAAGACAGAGACAGGCAAAGAGAGAGAGAGAGAGAGAGAAACAGAAGAATGAGTCAATCAGTCAAACAATCAATGAATGAGTCAATCATTTTATCTATTTGTCTATCGAATCTAGCTGTTTGCCTACCTATCTATTGTCTATCTTTCCAGATGTGTCTATCTATCGATTTGTCAATTCATCCATCTATCTGATAGTATCTTATCTTATCCATCCATCCATCCATCCATCCATCCATCCATCCATCCATCCATCCATCCATCCATCCATCCATCCATCTATCTAGATCTAGCCATCTATCTGTCCCTCTACCTACCTATTAATCAGTGCTCCGAGAGCGCTGCGCCTGCACCTTGCGAAAGTGAAAGTACCGCGCCTGCCAGATCTTGACTCTGCGAATGTGCTGCACATCGCACGAAATCTGCACGTGCCAGGTTGCACGTCCGTGCCAACGGGATTGCGACATGCCCGTGTCAGCAATGCAAAAATGCTGTGTCTGTCACGCCACCTACCTCAGGCTGCCAGAGTGCCGTGCCTGCACCCAACAGTGCTGCGCCTGCCTTGCAATCAACCTCAGTTTGCCGAAGTGCTGTGCCTGTCATGCGAAACTGACGCCACACAAAGTGCGCGCGTTCGTGCCAATGGGCCCGGGCATTCATTCTTTCTTCATGCAATTGACACGCTTTGTGGCCACAGCTCCCGTGGGCTTGGCAGAGGACTGCCATGCCAATTGACGACTTCCCGTGACGAGTGTCGGGAGCAACCTAATGATGATGTGTGCGTGACAATTTGCTTGCCCATGATGAAGGTATTTGTTCTGTGGACGCTACACCCTTGCCTTCCTTTTAAGCCAATCAGTGCAGGACAATGGCGTCTTCTGGATGGAGTGGGCCGAGTTTAAGAACGGCTTTCAGGACGTGGGCGTCTGCTTCGACAAGCAGAACCCAGGTGCCCGCTACACGGACGACTCGGTCGCCGCCCTTCGGGAGCATCACCAGGTCTCCTGGGGCATTGTTGGCCACCAGAAGTGGGAGGGCTTCTGAGCGAGCTGAGCTCTCGTAAAGCTGGTTGGGCCAGATGTGTGTGCGTGTCTATGCGCGTGTGTGCGCGTCATGTGTCCGTCCGATGATTTGTGACCAAGGAAACATGTGTACACAGGTGGTTGGCCCAAGTCCTGTCTCGTACAGAGTTGCAGTTTGGTTTTAGTGTTGGTCAGCGGACAAAAAGTTGCTGCATGGCCAACTAGGCAGCTGCAGGCTAGGCAAACCGTTCGCCCGGATGGGCTAGATGGTGCCTTGGCTTCTTGATCTGATCTTGAGCAGCAGGCCTGCACAAGCAGTGTCTTTGCAGGGGTGCTCAAGAATCTTAGCTTCTCGCGCTGAACGTCGAAATGCAGCGTGTTTGGCTGAAGTGCTTGTATCCAGCTCCCTCTAACTCTGAAGGCCGCAGACTGGTTGTGCGATTGCAAGGAACTTTCTAAATCAGACTCAATCGACCGGGCGGCTGAGTGGAATGACAAGGAAACGGTTTTTATGGTCAAAGAGAACAACCAAGCCCCAGATGAATGAAGCCCTTGGCGAACACTTCCGCCTCAATCAACGACCTGCTGCAGATTTCCGTAGCCTCCGCGCCTTTGCCAGAGGAGGCGAGGTGCAGATTAGGCACGGCCATGGGGAACTTGTGTGCCGCCGATGCGCGGCTGCTGGAGAGCCCGAGCCTCGTTGCAAGGTGGGTGTCGGCAAAGGCTCGCTCCAATTGTTTGAGTTGGTAGTTTTGCACAAGTAGCTTGGCTTTGGCATGTGACGCAAGCGCTTGTTGAAAGCACATGGAAGCAATTCCGATTCTCATTCTGGGGTTGAGAGGCAAATGCTGCCGAGACAGCATCCAAACCCGTGTGCTAATCCCCTGAACCTCCCCTGAAGCCAATGGTTGGCCGTTTGTCGTCGATCGGCGTTGGCATTTCGTGCTGCAACATGCTCCTGACCTGAAAGATTGAAGACGGTTGGATTTGCCAACTTCCAGAGATATGATTGGGCAAAGGGCCCGGTCATGGCAGCGCCATGCATGTTTTTTGCACTGAACACTGCCTCTTTTTGCTGGTGCCTCTTTCGATTTTCAAATTCAGATCATGGTGAGCACGGCTCGAATGCCTTGGGAAAGAACTCAGATATAACCCTGGGCGTGGAGCCGTCCAGGCCGATGGTTCCTGTCTCCGCGTGGCCGTTGGGCAATTCGACCAGGAATCCCATGCACCTCAAGCGGCTGCAGCCCCGGCCGGAGGTTCTGCCACTCCTTGAGCTGCACGCTGGCGGCAACGAGTTGCTTCGGTGCCATTTTTGAAGCGTGGCCGAGTGAATCAGTTGAATTCATGTTGAATTCCATTGGTTGCAGTTTGGACCCTGCCCACATGCGCGGGGACCGACTAGGTTTGCTCCTGGTTGACATGTCGATTGTTCGTCAGAAACCCAGCTGGAATTGGGTGAAGCAACATTCTTTGTGACTCTTTTTTCGGTCATGCCAGACGGTGCCACAAGACCGTTCCGAGCCCTCAAGAGGTTTCATCCGCACACTTGCATCAAGGGTGAACCTGGACTTCTACAGACCTGTAGCTAGCAACGCGGCAGTTAATTGAAGCATCCCTTGTCGGGTCAATTGTTTTGAAGGCGGCCCAAGCACTGATTCCCGCAACAGGACGTCTTGCTGCAGGGATTCTTGGAGCCCATCCTTCAGGATTAACTGCAAGCTTTCCTTGCGAATCTAATCAAGGGGTGCAGTCAAATCCCAGGGCATCCTTCTGCGAGAATCGCCAGGCACGACTTCCAGGGCGTGCAGACCAGCTCGGCCCCTGGAAGCCAGCCCTTCGAGGACGCCGAGTTCCCGGCAGATGGCTCTAGCATTGGCGGGGTAACTGGGGATGCGGCCAATCCGAACTGCGCCCAGTACCTGGAGGACAGAGAGGGTCTTCGCAGCGGGATTTTCCGTTGCTGGGTAGAGCGCATGTAGAACGTTTCAACGTAATCTGACTTTGGACATGCCCAGGATGTTCACATGATGAACATTGCTTGACGTGAAGGGCGATGGGGTTGGTTGTGTGAGTGCCGTTTGTCAATGGTTGCATCAGGCCATGTTTTTCCGCATGGTGGGGGTTTGCCACCTCTCGAAGTTCCCCAAGCGCTCTAGCCTTTGGCTTTTTGCGGGGTTGTGTTCGCACGGCGGGAGGAGATGATCAAATTGGTGGTGCCTGGCTGGGTACGACCACGGCAAATGATTGGCAAAGAAGCTGGCCAGCGCCTTGGTGACTTTGGACTGGGTGCAACCCACAGGTGGAGTAGATCGAAATTTGCACATGGCATGCTCACGGCTATGCAGTCACAAGTGTCGAACTTTAACCACGGACATTGGTGGCGGGGGGCGGGGGTTGCGTGACGTGGCCAGACCAGTCATTGACACCAGAGTTGCTTGCTTGCTTTCTGGAGCTGGGACAGGGTGCGCCGAGGTTCCGGCTCTTCGCGACTGAAGGGGAGCCTTGCCTCTTCAAGCACGTGTCTCCCCGGGACATTGAGCAGGGCCATGTGCCCGAAATTAGCCTTCCGCCATGCTGATAGGCCCTGGGCCTGTAGCTTTTACTCTAGGAACGGGCTTTCTTTTCCGGAGGCTCCGGCCATGGTGCGAACACTTCCCCCGCCCAGGCAATTTGGGCAATTGCTGGCTGGTCTCCTCTATGGCAACAGTGGCCGAGCCTTGGCTTGGCCCAAACAAGCGGTATGAAGCCATGGCGAAAAAGAGCAGGCTGCTTTCCGACGCAGTTGAATTCGGCCCAACACCAGGGTGATGTTGGTGCTGTTGTTGCACCAAGTTGATGAGAGGTCAAGGCAGTGAGTGGTGCAAGGAGGGTAAGATGGCTTCACTTGTAAAAATGTGATTTGAACTCCCGCTTAGCTTTGGACAGTTTGGCTTGATCTGCACAGCTCGCGGGTCCTGTCCAATGCTGAGAGGTTGTTTGTTTCTTCGGGTCGTGTTGATTGTTGGGGCAGCTCTTCCTTAGACAGTGTCGGAGACCAATCTTCTTGAGGCTTTTCCTTTCCTGCTCCGTACCTACTTCTAGGGACCTGTTGCACTTGAATCAGTCATGAGACATGCGTTGTGATTGGTTGCTTGGCTTTGGGAAGGGTGTGCGGCGTCAGGCCCAGCAAGCCCGAACTTGCCAGTTCCCACCAGGAGTACCCGGATCGGGTGCGGGCGCTCTTCAAGCAGAACGCCCTCTCGGAGGATGGGCGGTATGACGTGCGGCTCTACGATCCCACCTCGGAGGAGTGGAAGGCCGTGGGGGCCAATGGCCTTGGTGTTGTGCCCCCGGTTGATAAGGAACATTGCGCAACTTTTGGGTAAAGTGCCGACCTGGGAGCCCCGGCGCGCACATGGCCTGTTTGTTGATAGGGCCTTGAGCCAATGGCGGTCGAATGAGGAGGCTCTTGACACATCGGCAGGTCGTGACTATCGACGACCGCCTGCCATACTGGCAGCGTCCAGGCAAGCATGGCAACTTGTGCTTTGCCAAGCCGACCAAGGAGAACGAGTTCTGGCCCTGCTTGCTTGAGTCTCTTGGCAGTTGATCTCTGGGCAAGGCCAGCCTTCCGTATTGAATCTGTCGATCAAACAAAAAAAACGCACCTACACAATTCGTGAAGCGCGTTGGAATTCAGGTAGGCTCATTCAAGGCTTTCATTGTGGCAGGCCACAGCTTGCAATTTGTTTAGGAATTCATGGTGCTTAGTCTGCAAACTTCGACTGAAATGTTGCATGCCGTGGGATTACTTGCATGCTGATGAAGCACACTCTAACCCACAACAGATTGGCAGCGATGCTTTGGAAGTCCATTCAGGGTAAAGGCGTTGAACACCTTTGTTACCTTTGAGGTACTGCACGGGTGAATGGGGTGGGGGAATTGTCCAAGAAGGCAGGTTTTTCTACCAGTGAGAAAGGCAAAAGGGTAAGCATGGTAAGCAAGAAATGCGCAGAGCAAAGTGATCCGAGTTTCCTAGGAAGGCGGTGGCGAAATTTGTGATGTCCTATCATCGTTTAGACGGCGGCTACGAGAACATTGCTCTGGAGATGCTAACCGGAAAGCCGGCGCTGCTGATTGGCGTCAATCCTTTTCCTGAGGCAGGGGAGGGGCCGAGGATAGTTGCAAAGGCCAAGTTTGCAAAGGCCGCCCTTCCCATGACAGGGGGTTTGCAATTTGGCAGCCCTGGCAGCTGAGGCCAGCAGCACAGTATACGCCCACCTCTCCGGCAAGAGCAAGGCAACTGCGCGGCACGCGACAGTTCTGATGCGCAAAGAAGGCCATCGGATCCCAGAAAATCGCGTGTTCCGACCTGCAGGTGCTTCCTTTGCGTACAGCCTGTCGCTGGAGATGGCAGTTCTTTGCCTTCTCCAGACTCTGATGCTCACTCTTTCGGTGGGTTTGCGGGCCAGAAAGGGGACCAACTACCATAGCCGCCATAGCACCATGTTGCGATTCGATGTTTTGCCGATTCACCAGATCCTTGGAGGCTACGACGAGAACTGGGGCCTTTGGGGGCAAGATGCCTCGAGCCTTGTGGGGGGTAAGCACAAGCTCAGCGACGCGGAGCTTTGGGCCAAGCTCAAGGCCTGCGATTTGGAGCGAGCGACCCCCCACCTGCGACCATGGAGGTTCCTTATTACTTGGTCCCGTATCTCCAAGTGAACTACCGCTACTAGCTTTACAGGGGATGGATATTTTTTGGAAACAAAGGGTCCTTCTTGTACTTTGCAGGCCCTTGAAACAAAGGCTAGGCGAAGCCTGAACTAAGTTCAAGCCCGTTTCACCAAAATGATTTTTTGTGATTGTTGGCCCTTTTGAATTATTATATAGATGCGAAGTAACCGGAAGACGACTACCGCAAGATTACCCCAAGACTACTTGAAGACTGCGGGAGGAGAGTACAAGGTTACGTGACTAAAAGCCCTCCAAAACGGACGCGAGTCTTGAAAGCCATATTCCAGTTTGGCGCACAAGGGGTTTGGCTCCGGCTCAAGTTAATGAACGAAGATCACGACTAGCGACCGTAATGTTGGGTACTGGTTGACGCTCGTTGCAAGGGTTCCTTGTAGATGTGATTCTCAGGCCTGTTGCGCATCTCTAGCTGAACAACCGCCCGGAGAGTGGGGCACCAGGCGCTTTCAAAAGCCGGGCTCATTGTATGCCTTGCGCAGTTGCCACATTCAATCCTGCCTTTGTGGGATTCTGCCAGCCGCAGAACGAATGCCACCTTCTTGGGGGAAGCTCTTTTGCAGAAAATCACCGGTAGCACATATATATGTTTATATGTATACATGTTTTTTTCTTGCTTTGGTTCCCCCCCCCCGTCCTGACACTTCTGCCTGCGTGTCCACCCCATCCGGGCACTGCAGTTGAATTCGCGTCGCTTCAGGCCTGGGACGCGGAGGGCATGAGCCTCGCCTGCGGCACGGTGTTCCCCTTCAAGGGCATCCTCGCAGGGCACGCCTACACCCTGCTGAGGCGGGCTCCGCGGAGCGCATCGGAGCGCCCCGACATGCCCCGACCCGTGTTGGGCGGTTCTGGTTGCTCTGCCAGGCTCGCTTGGGCATGACCAATTCTCAACTCTTAGCGATTGTGTTTGAAGCAATCCTCCGGAGAATGCATGATTCGTCAACATTTCAGACCTCCCTCACCAAGCCCCCCTCTTTGGTCACCATCCGAAATGTGGATTTGCGCGTGATTGTTTGTCTTCATGCGCCCTTGTTTGCACGTAGAAAGGTGCAAAGCAGGAACGGCAAGAGGTTACCACGCGCCAAATCTAGAGCTTCTGATGGACATCCTGGCGGAATGTGTATGCCTTTACGTGGTTCTGCGCCAGGCTTGTGGAGGTGCCCATCGCACGAAAGAAGACGGGGAGGGAGTACGAGCAGTCAACGCTGAAGCTGCTCCATGTCCGCGACCTACCTCAAGGGTGCACTCTTTTAGCAAACATGCTGGGGGGTTCTCATCTTTTTCTTCCTTTTTCTTTTTTTTTTTGGGGGGGGGTGGCTTCCTTTGCAGCACCATTTAGCGGGAAAATTTGAGGAGTTCGCTTTACTAAATCCAGCAGCACGTGGAGACTAAAGGTCTGCGCTCACCCATCCCATCCAGTTGAGACTGGGAATTGGGGCAGAAAGGGGACCCCTGGAGTTTCATTTCTAGTTTCGTCCCCCTCGAGCTTGTATTCGGCCAACAAGCTGTGAACTTTCTCGCCGGGGGGGGGGAAGATGGGCGGGCGTTCTTCCTTTCGTTGTTGAGAGCCTGCTGGCCCTCAGCCCTGTTGCCTTGCAAGGTTCGCTCGGGTTGCAACCCTCCCTGCCATGCTCGAAGTGGGGATGCGTTGCGCTTGATTTGGGCCTTGGCCAGCCTGTGTCTATAATTACGGTCCTCGATGAGGCTTTCTAGAGGTTTGCATCCGGGGGGGGAGGGGAAGATTATGGGCACCAGAGTTGGAGTGCTTTTGATACATTTGGGTGGTGCAGCCAGGGGTTTTGCTTGATTCAGATTGCTGCTCTGTTTGTGCTAGACGGCCTTTCAACATGCAGAACATGCTGCTGCGAAGATTAGCCATATGCATGGCGCCTAGCGCCCGTTTGGACTTCCATTGCGATATCTATGGTTCGCAAGCTTATCAAGCCTTAGGAGGGACATACACACACACCATACATACCTACACCCTCAAGCATCATCCACAAAGGGTTGGCCAGCCTTTCCGTGTTCTTTCCTCCCCCCCTTCCCCCCCCCCTCACGTTTTCGACGCCTCTTGAGGCAACCCCCACCGCACGAGCGAGTGGTGTGGCCGCTTCCACGATGACGACTGGGAGACTTGGAACGCCTACCCCGAGGCTCTGAAGGTGACCGGCCACAAGGTCGGAGTGAAGGACTGGCATTGCGGGCTAAGTGGCGTCTCAGACCCGAGGTAACACACCAAGACACGTCAATGTGAGGCATTGCATCTTTACTCGGGCTGTTTTTTGTTTTTTTTTTTTCCTTATTGCAACTCCAATTGCCAAACAACAACATAGACTAGTTGGTGAACTGTGCATGTGCCAAGTGCTGGCCTCCAACTTTGCAGACCGCCTGCAAGAGGGCAACTTGTCATGAGATGGCCAGTGGCTTTAAGTTGGTGCGTTGAGGACAACGGGGTGTTCTGGATGGAGTGGAGCGATTTCAAGATCGGCTTCCGGGATGTGGCGGTGTGCTTCGATCAGCAGAAAGGGGCCCGCTACACGGATAGCTCGGTGGGGGCAGTGGAGGAGCATCGCCATGTCTCTTTCGGCATTGTCGGCTACCAGAAGTGGGAGGGCTTGAGATGAAGCTTTCGTGCTTCTTTGGGCCACATGAACCGGCTCGAGGATCGAAGATGTCAAGCCCACTGAAACTGACCCAATGGGCTGAGGGTTGCAGCCGGCTGGCCTAAGAGCTGCTGGCAAGCCCTGCAAGCGAGGCTTCACTGCCCGGCCAACGTCGTTGCATTGGATGCGAAGCAGAGGCCAAACATGCAGGCGATGCAACATCAGGGCATGCACCGGCATGTTCATGAGCTGCGGGTCCACATGTCCATGCCAGGGCAAAATCACAGGAGTAATCCGACACTCTCAAGCGAAAAAAATGATTAAAACAAATCCTGTAGCCTGTCCGGCCCATACCGCTCCTTGTGCTTCGCTTCAAATCACATGTTGACCGTGCAAGTATGCGGTGCAAGCTTCCCCAAGCAAGTGTTTTGTGTTGACGGTCTGCCTATGTAGGATGGCCTTTCCCCTTGACATGGCCTCTGAAGCACAGCCCCGAACTCAAATCACGAGTCACGGCTACGGGGGCAGAGTTGATTTGGTCATCTCTCAGGGTCACTGAAGGCGCGGCATGAGCCCGCTGAGTCGCTGCCCGTGGCATGGACAATGGACATTCGGGCCTCATCCTTGAATTTTAAGTTGCAAAGTCTCTGGTAGATTTCCTGCCGGGCAGGGGGTTGCGGTTCCTTGGCGGGATGGGCGCCATGGCGAACGTCACTGGCGAAGAAATGGCGAGCGCTCTCTCGTGGGGCCTTGGGAGCCAGGCTCAGGGGCAGGTGGGGCTTCCCTTCCAGGGGCGATGGCGGCAAGGTCGAGTTGGTGGTCCCCATGTGGTGAAACCTTTTTCTACTGAGGAATGCGCGGTCCAGAAATGTTTTCTCGCCCCAAATTACTCGACTTGAACCCTTGTTCTGCCGGCCAGGTGGTACACCGGAAGGAGCAAAAATGGCGCTGGCGGGATGTTCACTGGGCTCGAGAGTAGATCTCTCGCCAGCGTTTGGCTTGGCTTTTGTCTTACATCCTTTGGGAGCTGTATTAGGGCAAGTTTCGTTTCTGGTGCCAAAGGAAATGGAATTGGCTGGGAGGTCTGCATCTCCAGCCGACTGCAACAGAGAGGCAGCCGACTGCAGTTGACCCCAACAGCTTGTTAAACAGCACCATTGACCACAACAGTCTTCAAGTGAGCCTGCCACCAACAACAGCACGGACTAAATCCGACCACAACCACACTACTCACTACGTAGAAGCGACAAAGCTCATTAGGTTCCACAGCTCCCCGATGCTGGCTTCTCGATCTAGGCTGCACTGGCATTTGGCTCAGGAAAGAGGCCACCTGTTGGCCGCGCCACCGCAAAGCGGGCGCGGCGATGAGCGTTCGCTGTAGTTAGAGCCTATTGGGGATTCTTTAAAGGCTGTGGAAGCCTTCATGAATGAGACCACTTAAGCACAGAGGTCGCAGGCACAGAGAAGTTAGGAAAGGGTTTTGGCTGGTCCGAAGTTGTGCCGGCGCGTATATTGGTAGCCCCATTTGCGGCCATGCAGCAATGCGAGGCCAGAGCGGGATGAAGCGATTTGCAAAGAAGGGGCTATGACAAAGCGTCTGACAGCCTTTTGTGACAACACTGTCTTCAAATGTTCAGGGCCTTCACTTAAATACATCGGTGTCACATACAAGTTTTTGTCGTGCAAAACATGTCTTGGGGGAGTGGTTGTCCCTACTGGCAGCACTTTTCTCTTGCAACCGTTCCGCGGAGCCAAAGTAGCCAGCCAACTGTGCCGCTGGCTTCGCAGAAGGGTGTCTGCTTGTAAGAGGTGTCAAGGAGGCAAGTTCTGTGCGAGGATTTTTTTCGCAAAGAAATCCCATGTCCATCCGGAACTTTTCATTTCTGGCTTGCAGTGCCCAATGGTTTCTCGGCTGTGGCTTCCGCAGGTCTTGTGCTGCTCTTCCTCCGGCTTGGGCCTCTTGGGCCTCTTGGGGTTCCGGAGGGCTCGATCGCCATTGAGGCGCTCGGCCACTTTCCGGCGGAAGGAACCCTAGCGCAAAGCTTGCGGTTGGCTCTCGGGCCATGTGGCATTGCTGTGACCTTTTTGGAAAAACACATGGCCTTTCCATTAAACATCTAAACGATATTGAAAGATCAGATGGTTTGCGCAGAGGGCACCCCAGTTTATGGCGTATATGGGGACTTTTGCACGAGGGCTTGTTCCGCATGTTTTCTGCCACACCCGGTTGCAGAAGCCGATGCGTTTGTGCTTCAACGTCTGTATTTCGTTGGGTTTCAATTTTCGGGATGTCGGAGCGATGTTGCGACCAGCTTGTGTTTCACGTTGGATCTTGGATCGAAACCAGGGAGACATTGAATGCTTGATGTGCGTCTCCCATTGAGCTCTGCCTCGTAGTTCTGCGCTTTCCTTGCGCAGCTCTTCCTTTTTTCAAAGCGTTGGCAGTTGTCAAAACAAGATAAGTTTGGGCCTCGCTCACCGCCTCGTTCAGCACCTCGTTCACCACCACGTTTATTTCCTCGTTCAACTGGCCTTGCAAATCAGGAGTTTGCGCCACGTTTGTTTCTGCCCAACCATGTCAGGAGAAATCAAGCCCTTAGCTGCGTTTTATGTCGCCACTCCAAGTGCACCAAATTTGGGAGACCATTTCACACGGTTTCGTTCTGCACATTCATGTTTCAAAGCAAAGTTTATGTAACCTGAAAACAGTTAAGACAACACGCCTCCTGCATTTGTTTTCTGCACTCTGCCAGTCCCAGACGTTTGTTTCCACTCGCAACTTGGTATGTTCGTGCTGCGTCCCATTGGGTTTTGCGACTGCCCTGTGTTCTTTTCTGTTGGTTTCACATGCTGTGCCCCGTGGGGTTTACACCTTGCAGGCTGCTTTCGGCATCTTTTGGCGCAGGAAAAAGAACATCCCTGATACGTGCGTCCCCGTTGGGGTTTCCAAATTGGTGCGCTGACTCGTTTGTCTTCCTGAATGCGCGGCGTCCCATGCAGTTTCCTCCTTGGTTTCAAGATTGCACTGCTTTTGCTTTTGGGTGTAGGGCCTGCGTTGCAGTTGTGGCGCCTGCCTTGATTTGCACATGTCGCTGGTCTGAAGGAAAGGGGCACCCTCTCCATGACATGGATGGCTTCGTTGCCAAGTGATGATGTGTGCTGATTACAGTTATCTTGAACACATCAAGGCCGCAAGGCTGCTGCGCCCCGTGCCCGAGCAATCACAATCCGAGTTGCTACACGCATATAGTTTCTTGGGGGCTGTGACTACCCGCGTATTCTGACATACTTGCAAGCGTGAGCTCCGCCCTCACAGCATGTTTACATCACGCTTGCGATGATATTTGGTGGTGATCAAAGCTCTGCAGCGCTCATTGGCGGAAGTGAGGAAGCCCTTCAACAGAACAGATGGTGCAACATTGTATCCCAAAGGATCCCCTGAATTTAGTTCCCCAAGCATGCTAGGCAAATGTGGGGCAACACATTGCATTCGGCCGAGGGCGCAAGCTCAGGAGGCTGGATGTGCGGAGGGGCACATGGGTCAATTGGAGCCTCAGTTGATCCAGCATTGCAAGAGCTCCGCCACGAGGCAACGGCCACTTTGTTGGAAGTCATGCAGGGTGATGGTGACTTTTGGCGGGGGGTTGTATGCAGAACAGGCTCTTATAGAGTTCATGCAGGCAACGGCCGGAGCAAAACAGATTCTGGGAAGATGCCAGGTTTGCAAACAACGGTGGCTGGGACGGTAGACTGTTCGCGTATATGTCAAATTGGACCTTCTTTTCTTTCGGGAAACATGTAACAAATGCCAGCCACCAGCGTTCATGATTCCGTGCCCTTGCCGAGATAGTCTCCACATCATCCGCCAATGTGTTGCCAAGAAAAAGGTCCTTCTCTAATTTATTACGGTGACGCATGGTACCGTACCCTCTCTTGATACCCGCAGTGCCCAGCCAATTTGAATATAAAGGAGAGAGAGAGAGAGGTTTGCAATATACTATACAAGACATGGGGGTCCCACATTGAACAGACCAGAAAGGAGTGTTGTTCACTGACTTTGGTTCATCTCGATGTCAACAAAAACTTTGTCAGCTGCTTTGACTCGGGGTGAATGGATGCAGCAAGTTATCTCCTGTCAGATGGCACTCGCAATTAAGTGCTCGGCCGTGCTTTCACTTGGGTTGGCTCAGGTGAACGGATGATAAGCTTGTGCTTCTAGATTAATTAGCAGATGAAACCATGGGTGAATAGGTCATACTGGAAGCAAGCCAGCAAGGACTGAATCTCAGTTGGCAACCGGTTTGCTTTCCTATTTGCTGCATGGTGATATGCGTGTGAGCAGTGGCCCCTTTATGTTTGAAGACAGAGCTTGAATTGTGAGGGTCAGCAGTCTCAGACCTGTGGGATGAGACCTTTCTCTTTCACCGACGTGCGAGAGTGCCTCTCAAGTCTAAGTGGATACCTGACTTTGCCAAGGGGAGGGTAACTGCGTTGTGTGCCAGGTCTGCTCAGGCTTCCTTGACTTCACGGCTGGGTGTCTCAGGGTGTTTGAAGTGCAATCCAAGTGCAGCAAGTCTCATGGCAGAGATTGGAGGGTGTCGTGTTTGATGAGCTGTGTCTGTGTGAGTGTGTGTGTGATTATGTTGAATGCAGGGTCATTGCTGTTGGTTGACTTTTGGCTGGAACGGAACCGCTACGTACCCGTCAATTTGGCCAGTAATTCCGTTGCATGTCAATTCTAAAAATGACCATAATGACCATATGGACTTGGTGCAACTTGATCAATGCTCTGCCAATACCAAGCGTTCAAGCCTCTAAGCCTTCCGTGAATCGCCAATCTCAGACAAGAAGTTTGGCGAGCCATGGGGGCGAACATGTGCAAGGTGGATGGTCAGGTCAGCAAATGTGAGGTGGTCGTGAACAATGGCAACCCCTTGCACATGAAGAAGATTGACGCGCGACCCGAGCCGGCACGTGCACCACCGAGCCTGCAAGACTTCAAGGGCACCCCAAGCAAAGGTGTGAGCAAGACAGGTCTGTTCGAGGATGCGGAGTTCCCAGCCAGCAATGCAAGCATCGGCGGCGTTACAGGGGATGCTGCCAACCCCAACGTGGCGCAGTACCTGGAAGAGATGATGAAGTTGGTGGTGCCGGGATGGGCGCGTCCCCGTCAGATGGTCGGGAAAGAGGCTGGCGAGCACAAACTCTTTGCCACAGAAGGCGAGCCCTGCCTCTTTGCACGCGTTTCCCCACGCGACATCGAGCAAGGCTGCGCGGATGCATGCTTTAAGCGCGGGAAAAGCGTTGATAAGACTCTTTGCCAGATTGTAGGCACATGTTGGTGTGTATTGCAGCGTCTGAGGCTACTTGGGCGATTGCTGGCTGGTCAGCTCAATGGCGACTCTGGCAGAGTATCCGGACCGAGTGCGGTCGCTGTTCAAGCAGAACACCCTCACGGAAGATGGGCGCTACGACGTGAGGCTGTACGACCCGACGTCAGAAGAGTGGAAGGTGGTGACCATCGACGACCGCCTGCCATTCTGGCAGCGCCCAGGCAAGCACGGCAACCTGTGCTTTGCCAAGCAGACCAAGGAGAACGAGTTCTGGCCTTGCTTGCTGGAGAAGGCAGTTGCCAAGTTTGTGATGTCCTATCACCGGATTGACGGTGGCTTTGAGTCAGTGGCCATGGAGATGCTGACGGGCAAGCCCTCCGTGTGCGTTGGGCTGAGCCAAGTGCCTGGTGGCGCGCATGCCCCATATGCACTGCTCTGCGGGCAGACGCCTCAGACGGCCAAGCACGCCACCGTGTTAATGCGCAAGGAGGCCTACGACGCACACTGGGGCTACTGGGGTCAGGATGCTTCCGCCCTTCTGGGTGGCAAGAAGCAGCTCAGCGATGACGAGCTTTGGAACATGCTGAAGGACTGGGACAAGGTCGGCTACAGCTTGGCCTGCGGTTCGCGCTGCGCCTACAAGGGCATCTTGCATGGTCATGCCTACACTATCCTTAGGCGGGGGTTGGGCATGCCAGAGAGAGCGGCTGGGCAACGTGTTGGGTGGATGGTTTTAAGGACCTTTGCGACGCCTGTTGTCTTGCAATAGGAACTGAACATGGTTTTGTGCGTTTAGTGTAGGTGACAGCTGGTGGGGTTATTTATTTGCTGGAGACGTTTGCTTCGGGGTCAGAAGCCGGCCGCAGGCTGCTGGAGGTTCCTATCGACCGCAAGACGAAGGCGGGCATTGAGGAGAGGTTCACCTTGAAGATGGTGCACGTGCGCAACTCATCCGAAGAGCATGGGTTGCTTGAGGTCGCGAGGGTGTATTGGTTCAAGCCCCTCCCTATGTCTGCCAGTTGGAGCGTTCAGCAGCCAATGTCAGGTGGCTGTGCCAAGAGCCCCATGTACACAACTTGGATAATGGAGGGGTAGCTGCCCCAAGTTCTGGCGTTTGTGGCGCACTCAATGCATATCAATGCATAGTTTGCCAAACATTCTCCCAGGAGATGCCCGACAAAAAAATCGATTTGGTCAGGGTCAAGCAGTAGTCACCTGCATGACTGTCCACGCCGGCAGCGCACGATCTAGGCAACCCCCACCGCACCAACGAGTGGTTCGGGCGCTTCCACGATGATGACTGGGAGACCTGGAACAAGTACCCTGAGGCGCTCAAGGCGTGTGCCCACAAAGTCGGAGTGAAGGACGGGCTGTCAACCGCAGGTGTAGCCCGCTGCACGCGGAGAAACGTGGCTTGGTTGACCCTTTGCTTTGAAAGACCCCGACTCTAGAGAGCAAGATTGCAATCACATACCAGCGTTAAGAGTTTTACTAGACATGGACAGTTTGGCTGCTTGAGTGCAAATGAGCTCCACAGGTCTTTTTTTGGGGGGGCCCGCAGCACCATGGGCAGGACAATGGCGTGTTCTGGATGGACTGGACAGAGTTCAAGCACGGTTTCAGAGACGTCGGCATTTGCTTCGACAAGCGGAGCGAGGGTACCCGCTACACCGACAACTCCAAGGCTGCCATCAAGGAGCACCAGGAGGTGAAATTCGGCCAGGTGGGCTACCAGAAGTGGGAGGGCCTTTAGGCGGGTCTTTTTTGAGAATCCTCTGAGCGTTGTTGAGGGCAGGACGGTCGCATTTGACCCTACCTCAACGTGGTCGCATTTGACCCTACCTCACGCTGAGGTAGGGTCAAATGTGACCGGAGGTAGGGTCGTATGTGACCGGGACCCCTGTTCCGTTGTAACACATGCAACTGAAGAGTCCCTTTTTGACAGTGAGGTAGGGTCAAATGTGACCGGTGCGTTTCGCGTGGCCCTGCCGTGGAATTGGAACGCAGCATTCGATGTATCAAACGATCCAGTAGGGACAAAGGTGACCGGAGGTAGGGTCGTATGTGACCGGGGCCCCTGTTCCGTTGTAAAAAACGAGCAACTCAAGGGCCCCCTTTTGAGAGTGAGGTTGGGTCAAATGTGACCGGAGCCTTTTGAAGTGACAACGCAGCAGAAACCCGAAAAGTGATGTGGTAACTACCTAAAGAAGTGACAGCAAACCAGAAAACCCTAAAGTGATGTGGTGACTATAACTGAAGTGACAACGCAGCAGAAACCCTAAAAGTGATGTGGTATCTACCTGAAGAAGTGAAAGCTAAACCCTAAACCCTAGAGTGATGTGGTGACTTTACCTGAAGTGACAGCGCAGCAGAAACCCTAAAAGTGATGTGGTAATTACCTGAAGAAGCGACAGCGCAGCAGAAACCCTAAAGTGATGTGGTAACTGCCTAAAGGAGTGGCAGCGCACCAGAAACCCTAAAGTGATGTGGTGACTACTTCAAGAAGTGACAGCGCAGCAGCAACCCTAAAGTGATGTGGTGACTACCTAAAGAAGTGACAGCAAACCAGAAAACCCTAAAGTGATGTGGTGACTATAACTGAAGTGACAACGTGATGTGGTAACTACCTGCAGAAACCCTAAAAGTGATGGTGGAAGTAACTAAAAGTGATGTGGTAACTACCTGAAGAAGTGACAGCTAAACCCTAAACCCTAGAGTGATGTGGTGACTATACCTGAAGTGACAGCGCAGCAGAAACCCTAAAAGTGATGTGGTAACTACCTGAAGAAGCGACAGCGCAGCAGAAACCCTAAAGTGATGTGGTAACTGCCTAAAGGAGTGGCAGCGCGCCAGAAACCCTAAAGTGATGTGGTGACTACTTCAAGAAGTGACAGCGCAGCAGCAACCCTAAAGTGATGTGGTGACTACCTAAAGAAGTGACAGCAAACCAGAAAACCCTAAAGTGATGTGGTGACTATACCTGAAGTGACAACGCAGCAGAAACCCTAAAAGTGATGTGGTAACTACCTGAAGAAGCGACAGCGCAGCAGAAACCCTAAAGTGATGTGGTAACTGCCTAAAGGAGTGGCAGCGCGCCAGAAACCCTAAAGTGATGTGGTGACTACTTCAAGAAGTGACAGCGCAGCAGCAACCCTAAAGTGATGTGGTGACTACCTAAAGAAGTGACAGCAAACCAGAAAACCCTAAAGTGATGTGGTGACTATAACTGAAGTGACAACGCAGCAGACACCCTAAAAGTGATGTGGTAACTACCTGAAGAAGTGACAGCTAAACCCTAAACCCTAGAGTGATGTGGTGACTATACCTGAAGTGACAGCACAGCAGAAACCCTAAAAGTGATGTGGTAACTACCTGAAGAAGTGACAGCTAAACCCTAAACCCTAGAGTGATGTGGTGACTATACCTGAAGTGACAGCGCAGCAGAAACCCTAAAAGTGATGTGGTAACTACCTGAAGAAGCGACAGCGCAGCAGAAACCCTAAAGTGATGTGGTAACTGCCTAAAGGAGTGACAGCGCACCAGAAACCCTAAAGTGATGTGGTGACTACCTCAAGAAGTGACAGCAAGCCAGAAAGCCCTAAAGTGATGTGGTGACTAACTAAAGAAGTGACAGCAAACCAGAAAGCCCTAAAGTGATGTGATGACTATACCTGAAAGCAATGTAAAAGCCTCAAGACCTAAAGTGACGCATTTGGCAAGAAACCGTCAGGTAGGGTACGGTCAAATGCGACCGGTGCGTTTCGCGTGGCCCTGCCGTGGAATTGGAGCTTGATGCTGCCATCTCGTTGCCAGCTGGCAATGTTGCTTGAACGCAAAGTAGGGTAGGGTCGCTTGTGGCCGGTGCGTTTCGCGTGGCCCTGCCGTGGAATTGGAACATAGTATTGCCACTTGGCACTGATTTTAAGCCCAAAGTAGGGTAGGGTCAAATGTGACCGGTGCGTTTCGCGTGGCCATGTCGTGGAATTGGAGCTTGATGCTGCCATTTCTTTGCCAGTTGGCCATGTTGCTTGAGCCCAAAGTAGGGTAGGGTCAAATGTGACCGGTGCGTTTCGCGTGGCCCTGCCGTGGAATTGGAACATAGTACTGCCATTTGGCACTGATTTTTGAGCCCAAAGTAGGGTAGGGTCAAATGTGACCGGCGCGTTTCGCGTGGCCATGTCGTGGAATTGGAGCTTTACGCTGCCATTTTGGCATGGTTTTTGAAGCCAAAGTAGGGTAGGGTCAAATGTGACCGGCGGGTAGGGTCGTATGCGACCGTCCTCCCGTTGTTGAGCGCGCCCAGCCGGCGAAAGTCGTGAAGGCCACTCAATAATTCAACAAGCTCGAGCCAGCCCTGATGGGCTCGGTCGGTTTGAAATTGTTTGCCGCTGACAAGCAGTCAGGTTTGAGCAGCGGAAAGGCTTGCAGAAGCAGTTTGGCCTTTCTGGTGCTAGCAGCACTAGACGCGTGTTCTCGTAAAAGTTCTGGTCTCGCAGAAAAGGCAAAACCGAGGGCTGGATGGTGCAATAACTTGCACTGCAGCGACTTGTCTCCAGTGCTTGAGGTGTTGATTGCCCACTGGGAGTATCCAAAGTGCAGTGACTGCCTCGCAATTTTGTTCACCATGAACCCACACTGACGTTACCGATACCCCATCAAATGAGAACTGCCACGTATACAGTTGCGGTGCATTCACTGCCAAGCTGGCACATTAATCCCCTGGACACAGACACGTGGCTGTCCGTTGTCCGGGTGACCTCTTCCTGACTGCGGTCGTTGCATTGGGACCTTCCATCGCGCAATGCAAGTCTGCAGGTCAGCGCCAAGTAGGCAAGTATTCGAGCCTCTTTTTGAGCCCAGGGTGAGGTAAAGGTGCAGTTGAGTTTGTGCAAAACATGGTGTCAAATCTGCGCAGCGACAGTGGTCATTCATGATACTCAATGCAGCAGCCCTTTGTTTCAAGCTTGTGACCCGCCAATCTCAGACAAGAAGTTTGGCGAGCCATGGGGGCGAACATGTGCAAGGTGGATGGTCAGGTCAGCAAATGTGAGGTGGTCGTGAACAATGGCAACCCCTTGCACATGAAGAAGATGGACGCGCGACCCGAGCTGGCACGTGCACCACCGAGCCTGCAAGACTTCAAGGGCACCCCAAGCAAAGGTGCGAGCAAGACAGGTCTGTTCGAGGATGCGGAGTTCCCAGCCACCAATGCAAGCATCGGCGGCGTTACAGGGGATGCTGCCAACCCCAACGTGGCGCAGTACTTGGAAGAGATGATGAAGTTGGTGGTGCCGGGCTGGGCGCGTCCCCGTCAGATGGTCGGGAAAGAGGCTGGCGAGTACAAACTCTTTGCCACAGAAGGCGAGCCCTGCCTCTTTGCCCGCGTTTCCCCACGTGACATCCAGCAAGGCTGCGCGGATGCATGCTTTAAGCGCGGGAAAAGCGTTGATAAGACTCTTTGCCAGATTGTAAGCACATGTTGGTGTGTATTGCAGCGTCTGAGGCTACTTGGGCGATTGCTGGCTGGTCAGCTCAATGGCGACTCTGGCAGAGTATCCGGACCGAGTGCGGTCGCTGTTCAAGCAGAACACCCTCACGGAAGATGGGCGCTACGACGTGAGGCTGTACGACCCGACGTCAGAAGAGTGGAAGGTGGTGACCATCGACGACCGCCTGCCATTCTGGCAGCGCCCAGGCAAGCACGGCAACCTGTGCTTTGCCAAGCAGACCAAGGAGAACGAGTTCTGGCCTTGCTTGCTGGAGAAGGCAGTTGCCAAGTTTGTGATGTCCTATCACCGGATTGACGGTGGCTTTGAGTCAGTGGCCATGGAGATGCTGACGGGCAAGCCCTCCGTGTGCGTTGGGCTGAGCCAAGTGCCTGGTGGCGCGCATGCCCCATATGCACTGCTTTGCGGGCAGACGCCTCAGACGGCCAAGCACGCCACCGTGTTAATGCGCAAGGAGGCCTACGACGCACACTGGGGCTACTGGGGTCAGGATGCTTCCGCCCTTCTGGGTGGCAAGAAGCAGCTCAGCGATGACGAGCTTTGGGACATGCTGAAGGACTGGGATAAGGTCGGCTACAGCTTGGCCTGCGGTTCGCGCTGCGCCTACAAGGGCATCCTGCAGGGTCATGCCTACACTGTCCTCAGGCGGGGGTGTCAATGCAAAGCATTTAAAGATGTTATGGTAGCACCCGGCTTTTGGTCGGTGCAACTGCTTGGCGTGACGTTTGGCTTGGCAACGCTGTTTGAAGGCTGCTCGACGTGCCGATTGACCGCAAGGACAAGCAGGGCAAGGAGGAGAAATTCACATTGAAGATGCTGCATGTGCGTACCTTTGTGGCAAGTCACCATGATCCCGCAAGAATGGTACGTTTTCACAAATGTTCACAAGCTGTGGAGGGCTCACCTGGCAAAAGAGGTAGGGCTCATCAAAATGCCAACTGCGTGAACGAAATCCGGCTTGTTGCTCATTTCGATGTTTGCTGCCATTTGTGTGGTTGAAGGACGCATGTGGTTGCGTTTGTTTTAGAACCATGTCCCCGCATTTTGAGTCTCTGCATCCACAAGCTCTTTGCAATGCCTATCACGGAGCTCAACGATGTTTCTTCCATTCTAGCTGGCACATCAAACCATAGCCTAGCAAGCATGAGTTTGACAGGTGGGTGGCTGATCTGAGGGGGACTCGCATTCAACTCGTTGATCTTAAACTTGTGGTGCGCAACTCATGGTCCAATGGAGGCACGAGACGATGGACAGTATGTGTTGTTCCAGTCATTTTCGCCTGTCAAATGAACACTTCCTTTGTGTTTGCGGCATGTACTGCTTTGTGTGGCAGTTGAGCTCATTTGCGCTTCGCTCAGTAAACTTAGAATGAAACACAACCACAATGGCGTGTTTCTGTTGTTGTTAATTGGCTTGCAGCTGCTTATTTCTGCAATCAAGGCACGAACAATGCGTGTGAAACTGGCTCAAGCCTGGACAAGAACACATGGGACACCGTGTTTTGAAGTGACCATTCTAAGAGGCCGTGGCAGCCAAGGCAACCCCCACCGCACCAACGAGTGGTTCGGGCGCTTCCACGATGATGACTGGGAGACCTGGAACAAGTACCCTGAGGCGCTCAAGGCGTGTGCCCACAAAGTCGGAGTGAAGGACGGGCAGTGAGGGGGACCCCTTGGGGTTTGGAGTCCTCGGCTGCTGGCTTGGAGTTTTTTTGTGAGGCGGCAATGAGCTAGCTCTGTTGAAAGGAGCCTAAGTTTGTTAATCTCAAGGGAGACCGTGCTTGGCGTCTTTGAAGGACTTCTTCCAGGGCAACCCTGGGCTTATGCATGTCTGACTGCAACCAGCAAACTGGCTGCATTCCGCACCCTCGCAGATTTGGCTTGCGAAGGACAACGGCGTGTTCTGGATGGAGTGGACGGAGTTCAAGCACGGTTTCAGAGACGTCGGCATTTGCTTCGACAAGCAGAGCGAGGGTACCCGCTACACCGACAACTCCAAGGCTGCCATCAAGGAGCACCAGGGGGTGAAATTCGGCCAGGTGGGCTACCAGAAGTGGGAGGGCCTGTGAGAGGCTGGCAACGGCAAGCCCTGGTGATTCAAGTCACGTTCTTTGAAGGAGCTGTGTTGTTCAGGGGGTTTTCGCACGACCACATGTTTTCTGGTTCCGTACCGGAAGTTCTTTGTTTGCGTGTCCAGCGCCATCATGGCGACTTTTCCATTTTGAAGGCCAAAAGCCAAGGCTTATGTCAACGGTCAAAGGTCCTTTGGCATCAGGCCCTGGCCGACCTCACAAGTCGTTGCCTGGCACTTTCCCTTGCAAGCTGTCGACTGTCTCCGCACAAGTCGCCTTTAGCACGAGTTGCCCTCCAAACATTTGAGCTGTTCAGGTATGTTCGCAGAAAACCCAGATTAGCTTCAAGCGTTCACTCACCTGATGCCAGAGACATGGAGCCATGGAGGGGGGGGGGCGCTCGCCTGACTTTCCTTGGGGCTTGGCTTGCACAAGCAGTGCCTTGCCCTGCAGAAAAGGCGGCTGCAACAAGTGGACTCATGTGGCAGGTCGTGTATGTTAGTGGGGCTGTGTGTTGGCTGTTTGCGTGCCTGTGGGCCAACTGTTTTGACTTCATGCTTGGAAGGGGCATGCCTTACTTCGCTCTTGCAATCAATGTGAAGGGACTTTCTGTCACTGTGACAATGTTGTAGCTTGGTGTAGCACCCGTTTTGCATGTGGGCGAGCTTCTCTTTCCGCCGCGGGGCGAGGGTGCGCGCGGATTGTTCCAGATCAAACAAGATCTCATCATGATTGACATGCATCGTAGCACAGCAACGGGTATGAGTCGGTTTAGGCCTGGAGCCTTTGCCGCCCAGGCCGTGCATGAAGCCGCGCCGCCCTGTGCGGGAGCCTCAGCTTTGGATTTTCGACCCTGGGAGCAGGGCTTTTATCGAATTGGGTGGTCGGCCCAGGTGTTTGTGCTAAGCAACTTTGGTCTGCAGCAGAGTAGTTTCGCTACTGGAGTCATGGCAAACGGGCCGTATGTAGGCCAACATTCTGTCGGTTTTTAAGCTGCATGTGGGTCTCGCTGTTTTACGTCATAATCTGGCATGGCTTGGCCATACTGCTCAAGCAGTTTCAAAGTGATCCCAACCACTATTTCAGAGAGATGATGGGAGATGCAGGCTTCACGTCCAATCGAACTCACATTGACATGGAACTACTTAACCGTGAGCAGCATATAAGTAGCTGAAAGCTATAGGGGTTCTAACTTGTAATAAGAGGGAAAGTGATTGGCAAGATTGACGGCTGGGTCTAGTGGCATAGGTGCTGTTTGGCTGGTGACGGTGCGGGCGCTTCTTTTTAAAATTGACGGCAGGGTGCTAGGGCATGCAGCTTGGGTGCTGGTGGGTGCATATTTTTGTTTGTTTGTTTTTGTTTTGTTGTTGTTTCTTCTTTCTTTTTTTTTTGGGGGGGGGCTGGTGACGTACGCAGGGGCGCGTGTTTGCGAGATTGACGGGACAGTTTGGGCCTGGTCGGGGTGCCGTTTTGGGATGCTGCTTGGGGTGCTGCTGGAGGTGCTGGCAACTGTGCAGGCACATTCTTGCGAGATTGACGGCCGGTACTCTGGGGATGATGCTTGTGGCGCTATTCGCGGGGTGCTGTTGGAGGTGCTGGTGTTCGATCATCGGCCTGGTTTTTCGCTATTTGGGGTCTATGCTGGTGCAATTATTTGTGTTTTTGTGCTTTTGGTTTGGTTGGTTGATTGTGTTTCTTCTTCCTTGTTTTTGTATTAGTGTTTTTTTTTGGCATGCAGAGGGTGACAAGATGAACACTTGACTGATTGCATCAGCCCAGGGCAGGTGTACAAGGCTCACACACACAGACAAACAGCTGGAGGGTTTGAACCAAGCATGCCTGACCCTTCCAAGTAAAACACATGTTTTACAGTATTGTCCTGGTTTTCCATTTTCCTGCCAGGCATTGAAAAAAGTAAGATTGTGAGCCTTGTATGGAAATCTTGGCTTTTCCTTGGTATCTGCCAGTTTCAGGTGCGGCAGTGCCCAGCCAACAGTGAGGCGCGTGGAGCTGCGCGTTGGGTTGGAGCCGTTTCATCATCCGCCGTCCTTCGGTGCCTTTGCTTGTCAGCCACCCCCTTATAACAGCCCGTCTGGCTTTAAAATCCTTTGGGGCCAAATGCTATGGCTTGTTTTTTTCAGGGCGCCCTGCGCCCGCATCCCTTTCACAACTGCCTGGATTCGTCCGCCGCCGTGCCGCAGCCCCCCACTGGCCCCAGCCCGCGTTGGGCCGAGAAATGAAGTTCCGCTGCGCGGCGCTGCTGGCGCTGCTGGGCGAGGCCTTGAAGGCAAGAGGCCCGCCTTACCCGCCAGGCCTGGGGCCTGGCCGGCATCGGGGGCGGTGTCGGTTCAGAGTGCGGTTTGCTTGCAAGGTTTTTTTTGGGTCCTACTTTTGATGGAGTGTGAATGCTGAGCTGCGGCTTAGCTGCAGCGATTTAGACGTAGGTCTGCAAGCAAGGCAGATGTTCTCGAGCGGTTCGTTTTGGGCCAGGGTGATGCATCTCAGCCATTGTGTTTGCAAGGCCGAAGTCTTGGCACTGCACCAAAAGGGTACATGCCCAACCATGTGGGTGTGGAGTCTGTGATTTGTGGCGCTTGTGCGGCTCCTATGTTCCCTGCTTCTGCTCTGGTTGGCGCTGGATCTTCAGGTTTCCGAGCATCCGCAGGTTTTGTGCACTGAGCTGATAGACGCCTGCTTGATTTGGGTAATCTGGTGTCTGCCCTTTGCGGCTATTACCAGCAGCCCTTCCATGGAGTCAATTCGGTTCATTGAGCAGGTTACCTTACAGAAAGTCGCTTGGGAAGAGCCCGGGCGTCCTTCCCTTCCAGGCTTTGATCACTTCCCAGCGGGGGACTTGAACTCCCACCCCACAGCCGCGGCTCGGCAAAGGCTTCCTTCGTTCAGCTTGTCGGGGGGAGGGCGTTTGCGTCCAGCTACTAGGTTTCCTTCACATTGGTCATGGCACGGGACGGTGACGGTTTGATTTAGCAACAATTTAGTGAAGAAAGGAGGACGTTCGGCCTGCCCGTTCGCGGATTGCGATTGTTAACTCGACCCGCGTTTGACCGGATAGGGTTTTTGGAACACGCTTACGAAGCATAAGCTTTTGTTTGACTGAAGTATAGCCCAGCTGAGGAATAGCACATGTTGGGGCGTCCCGGACCATGTTTGCAACCTTGGTTCGGAAGCTTCTTGCCCCCCTCCCATGACGGTGCAGGCGTGCCTATCCTGGTGGGGCCAAGTTGGTACCGACAAGAAAGAGACAGCAAAGAATAGGACTCCTTGGGCAAGGGGACTAGACATACAATATACATCTTGGGTCAAATCGGGGTTCATGCAGGTGTACGTACCCTGTGAGTATGCTCCTTCTGTAGGCAAGCTAGGCGCACTGGCTCCAGCTGCCTTTCTCTGACCGGGAGAGCTGAGGAGGGGGACCAGGTGCGCGTGGCTCCTTCGCGCATCGCCAACCGCTCCATTGTCATCGCGGGGCTGCTGAAGGCGTTTGACCAAGGCGCCTTTGACCATCTCTCCCGGGCCAGGCGGGGACGCTGCAAGCAGTTTTTGTTGGCTCGATGCTTTCCACATCTACAGGATTCTGGCACATGTTCTAGGTGCACTTTTGATAGCTAAAGAATATCCTCAGAGTTGCGGGCTTGGATTTTGTTGGCTTTGGATGTGCACCTTCTGGAACCCCCGGCAAACAGCGCATGGGAACAGAGAGGATCCGCCCTTTCTAGACAGTGTGTTTGTTATTTATGTTATTTTTGGCAGACTCCGTTTGGGTCCACGCTGATTGGAAGAGGGGAAGCTAAAGTGAGGGAGGCATGTTCGACTTGACATGGGTGACTACCGCCCAAAAAGAACCCTTTCATGCGGATTTCTTTTCGCAACAAGCTGGGTGAAATTCAGCTCTTGCCTTGAGCCGTCAATGTTTAAGAGCCGCATGCTCATGCAGCCCTGCCCTGAGAGCTTTGGCATGTCCAGAGTGTTGGGTCCAGCTTTGCTAGTGATTTGCCTTCTGAGTGGCTTCCAGAAATCATGGAATCATGTGAGTAAAGCTGGTTGGAAGGCAAAAGGGGCTTCAGAGGTTGCAACCAGGCGGACGTTTTGCATTGTTTGCATTGCTGCGCATGCTGCCCGCCGCGAATTTGGTGACTACATGGCGGATGCACTCCCAACATATCGACTTGACTCAAGATTGCCATGGTTAGGTACGCTTACATGGATGTGAAAGAGGCAGGTAGCTCCAAACTTGACCTGCCGACTGGTGTGATTCGAGGCTTGTTCTTTTCCTCAGTGTCCCCCCAATGAGTTGCCATTGCTGCTTTAGCCAACTAAACAATGCTTCGATGGGCACGCAGGGTGTTTCTGCTGGTGGTCGTGCGGTCTGCAATTTGAGCCATGCCAAGTAATTGTCCAGGCAGCTTTGCCACTGGTTCGACGATGGGCAGTGCAGCATGCTGATCATGGCGCCGCAGGCTGGGCCTCTCTGGTTTGAGGGAGCGTGATTGGCGCTTTCTCAAGGGGCTCCCACCTATTTGGGCGGGAGACTCTCGCCCACTGCATGGCAAACTTCAGTTGGTTGACCAGAACCTGGCAGTCCTCATGAATTGTCCGTAAAAGTCTTGCGATGAAGAATCAACATGGCCAAACACTGCACCGCTCGAGGACCGTGTTTTGGTCGTTGGTTTGTCTACTTTTGCCACCTCTCTACCAGAATTCAGCAGGTGGACGCGGCCTTGGTGGCGAAGATGCAGCAGAACCTCCCCGGTGCCTCGGCGGCTCAAAAAAGGCGTGGCTCCCTCCAAGGTCAAAGGGTGCCCATGGATAGCATCATCTTTTCTCTCACATGGCTTCTGAGTGAAACGTGCCGTGCTTTCGTACAACACAATAAATGATGGATTAAGAAGCTTCGAATCTCAAAGGCTCTCTTGGGACCTTCATTTATTACAGGGAGAAGCTGAACTGGGTAGCTCGTACGAAAAAACAATATCCCAACAATGGTTGCATTCCTTTCTTTGAACTGCCTCTTGGCCCAGGGTTTGGAGCCGGGAGGGTTTGGCCATGATGTGCTTATGTTTGGAGTATGAGTATGCAAGTTGGCCGAACCGGGTACTTCTATGAAGCACGCACCTCCAACGTGCAAATATGGAGAAATATGCCGAAGCACTTAGCCCTGAACACAGCTTTGCTCAGGGGGTGCACACTATTGCATAACCTATTCTGTACCATATGCAGGTGGCTACCTCAAAACCTAAATGAAGCATATGGCTGAGGCTCGGTGCTCAAGGAACACCGAGAGATGTTTACTTGCACAAATCTGGCC